CCCTGCACCAACAGGTTCTCATCTATAACTGATGATCACGTCTTGTGAACAAAGCATACTGACATACAGCTACATAGCTTACAGCAATTGATATTTATGTCTTCTTAAATTGACGTCCCCTTGTTTTAAGATTCTGTTAACAGTTTTTGCAGGCAGAATTCATTGTGCTTCTCCCACCAGGTACCAAGAATTTCTCCTAATTTTCTACTCATTTGTCATTCAACCTTTAACCTTTTCTACATTTCCCACAGTACTGTAATAGTCATTTACTGAAAAACAGGAAGATTACTGTTTTAAAAATAACTGTTAGCAATCTTCTATGACTGTGTAATTATTTAATCACACAAAGTAAGTGATGTCCATCATATGTCTAATGTTGAGTTGAGTGATGAGAATTGAGATGATGATGGAGAGGTGGAGGGAAGGGAATGGAATAAACAATACATGTGTTAGTAGTCTAGAAACTTGAGTGTAATCAAATATAGCAGCAAACACTTGGTCTCTTGGGTTCCAAACATCTGCCTTGTTAAATATGTTTGTGAGATCAATAAAACAAGCTGCCAATGAAACCAAAGCATGAAGAAAATATCTTTTGCATATACCCAAAGCCAGAGAAGATTACTGAGATTACAAATGTAGTGCCTTATTAGCAAATGAATCTTAGGCAATACAAATAACTCAAAGAACTTTAACAATAACTCCTGCCGATTTTTTACATAAGAACAAAAACGTTTAACATGACAAATTGCCTCTTACACGAAATTTCGGACTGCCGTTATCATGTAAAGTAAACTATTGGAATTTTTATCAAGGACATTAAAATCCTATACGACTTCAAATGAAAAGCTTCACTTTTCAGTACGGTGTACATTTTTCTTACAATATTAAACATTATAGATTCCTATCTTTTGAGTTGTGACACCATTTAAATACATATCTGAAGATCACAGTTTAACTTTCACCACTGCCAAAATCTCAAACTTCATAATAGTGAAGTATTACCCCCCCCCCCATTCAGCTTAACTACTGTAAGATTTCCATACTTCTCCTTCCACTTCCCTTCAGTCAATCATATTAATCTCAAAATTATAACCCTTCTTAGCCCATAATTAAACATAATTTTGCACCTACACTCAAAAGATGTCATAAACAACGGATAAGTGTTACGGCACAGGTAGTCAAAGAGTTGTGCCAAGATGTCAGGTCTATTTACACAGCCTGAACATACTAGAATTTTGGGAGGGTCTTCAGAAGGTACAATGATATATCATTTCAGTCATTAAGCTGGTTTTTTCAATGTAATGATACACAATGCATGAGCCAACAAAAACATAACAGAGTTTCTATAAACTACACAGCATTGGCTATTGTCAATGATTATTAATTTCACAGTAATTACATTGCAGATGGTGTGCAGTAGCATTGTTTCCAACCATCAGCCATCTCTCCAGGGGAGTAAGACCACAGCATGGGAACCTCTAGATACCTTAGTGTGTACTCATGCTTTCATAAGATCCATCTGTGTAATGCCAATCTGTTACACTCTTAATGACACTGTTTTCGGTCAACTTGCACGCTAAAGAAGATGCCTGAATGTAATACTTTTTCAGTTGAAGAACATAACACTTCACAAAGTAACCGACTTAACAGAAAGTTTGGTAAAAACCAATTACACATATAAAAGTAAATACATCCCAATATAGCTTTACACTTTCAAATGTGTGAACTCTTATGTCCCATTCTATTGACAGGCTAAAGCAATGTTTATCTACCTAAGTATCTCTGAGATACTGTACACTTCTTTTGAATTACTTAGGTAGACCAGGTAAGAAGCAATAATTATACAGTAAATAATATTATTACAGTGCAACAACTTCAGTGTGGTTAGTGCTATATATAAACACGAAACAATAAATCCTGGTATTAAGTTATGTCTTCATTTTTTTTTTGCTGCATGACAAGTAATATTTTACTTATGTGTAAGAGTGGGGACACTAAATCAGTTCTATCCTACAGTAGTGTGAATATGGAGAAGGTATGGAAGAAAAGTGACCCCAAAATTTGCTCTGACATTAAATTACACTTTCTCACTGCTGTGGCATAATACGTATGTATGTTCTGTCCTCGTTATGGCCCACAATTTAATTGTGTTACAGTATATGTGCCTTAAATTCGATCTGAACCAAAAGTCCTAGGAAATGACATGCAAAAATTAAGACAATACCGGAAACGTGTAACCTGTGCTGAAATACATACAGAGTTGCCATATGCAATTCTTTGGATGTGCAAGCATACATACACACAATTTTATCAAAAGTTGCATCATTTTCAGAAATCTGATACCACACATAATTTTAGGACTGTATATTAAGTGCATCCAGTGTTTCTCCCACCTCACAAATCTGTGTCCATCATGATAATATTACTGCTCATAAATAACTTCACACAGCCAAGCTCTTCTTGAGAAGCACCAGTTGTGCTGCTACTCAAGAATTTCCCAGCAATTTATGGAACCTGAAGGTTCATTACCATGTCCACAAGAGCCCTCCACTGGTCCCTATCCTCAGCCAGATCAATCCACTTCATACCAACCCATCCTATCTCTCTAAGCTCAATTTTAATATTATCCACCCACCTACATCTTGTCATCCTAGTGGTCTCGGTCCTTCTTGCTCTCCTACCAATATCCTACATGCAATCCCCTTCTCCCCCAAGAACTACTCTGCTTATAGAAGATTAAAATATGGAGTTTGGTGTAACCTCCAATGGCATAATGTCATACCAGATTTCATCACAATCCATCCAGATTATGGCGTTGGAACATACTGACAGACACTACCAGCCCCATGCGTGTTAATTTCATGCACAATGTGCAAAGTATGCATAAAAATATATAATCCTGAAAAAAAAATGGTAAGAAAATGTTTTTGATTTTGAGCATAAACAGTTCTTAGGCATGTATTTAACAAAAAAATAATGTCTACTTTCTTTTTACTCTCTGTTCATCCATCGATACAAAGAAGACTGTGATTGCCAAATCAAATTCTACACAGTTGTTACTAATAAATTTAATTTTGATTCACACTGAACAGTGTGAACTATTACCACATTAAATATGTATACACACCTAAATATCCAACTAACTCACTCAACAGCGCTGAATCTTCTTTGCAAAATTTACTCTTATTCAATAGGACAAGGAATTTCTTGCATTTATGCAATTAACGATGCATCAGTGTGTTAACCATGTACCGCCACTGGACTCTATCCTGAGACAGAGGAATTCAATTCATACCTTTCCACCCTATTTATGAACCACTTTAATATTATCACCCAACCTAGAACTTGGTCTAGTATACTGATAAATATCCACTAGCCAAAAGTTACATGAGCTAGTAGAGCATATAATTTCCCTTTTGCATAGTTATTATACAAAGCCAAATTCCAAAGAAGTAACCTAAGTTAATAAAAACTGAACCCCCAATATACATCTATTTGTACTGTGCAATAAGTGACCACTCACATCACCTTCAATACTTACTACTGAAGGAAACAATGATACCAACTGTAAGTAGATAGAAAATTAAAGTAAATGGCTGATAGTTAAACAGAAATTTTTGATCTGGAAATCTGGTTTCAAAACTCCTCAATTTTTTGCATTACTGTCAGCGGTGACCAAAAATACTTAAGAAACATTAATTTATCCTTCGTATTTTTCAGAACCAGAGAACTGGAGAGGTTCATCACCTTTCAGTACAATGTCAGAAATTAATAAATTCACCAATTTAATGAGATGCAGCTCTTATTGTATTCCAATCAAGCTGCACAGACCACACCAACTTTCTCCCATGACCTGATCAACCCTATGGGAGGCAAAGGCATGCACCACACCCATCACAACCAAAGCATAATTACTTGTTAGCTGTAATTCATACAACTTATAAGATTCCATGCATGTCTGTATGTATAAAGTACAAATCAAATCAAACCATACAAGCACCACAACTCCCTATCTTTCATCTTTAAAGTATGAGAACAAAGTCAAACTCAGCAAAATCAGGGAGGAATTGTAACCTATTTATCAGTAGCTACTCAATCAAAAAATTAAATGGAGAAGTTACCAAAAAAATAAATGAACATCAGGATTAATAAATTAGGAAATGTACACATAGCGAAATTCTGGCATGTCCACTCCCTTGTGTTAATTACCTCAAAAACCACAAGACTTATGAAAAATGTGTATTTAACATAATATGCATGCTTTACTTCTATCTATAACTTCAATTCAAAACATTCTTTGCTGATAAATATCTAGTGAATTACCCTCAAAATGTGCGCAGAAATGCGTGTCTCTTACTGTTGTCTGATTTTAGTTAAACTCAGAAAGCACCAATACATCTTAGTAAAACTTTCCAATATTAAATTTAATGAAAATCCATTCAGCAGTTCCTGAATTTGTATATGTGGACAGACAGGCATATGCAAGCATTTTTCTGCAAACATGCCAACAAACACATCGGCTATTACAAAGTTCTGTCACAATTCTGGTACTTCTAATTATAACAACTATTCCCATCTACAACATGGCTACCTACACTTGCAGTGTCAGTGAAGAACTCACTTCACCAACAAATATATCACTACATAAGTACACTGAATAATACTGAAAAATTCACAAATCATTCTATCAAATAATAATTTTAGAAAGAAGAAATTATGGCATGCAGTACAATAGTGTAACGTGCATAAAGACACCTGAGGATGGCACATTAGTGCTGAAACATGTAGTGTGGAAGTGAAGAATAAGGTGAAAAAGTGTGTACACTGTAAGACGGTCAGCATAAACCATGGACATAATAATATTCATTTTACATAAAATGTGGTATCATATATCTTTGCAGAAATTATAGTAACATTATTTCCTTCCATTACACACATAAATGGTTAATCCTGATTCTGTCATCCTACACCAGGGGAGACAAGAGGGGCTTCTGACTAACCTGTTTCCAAATCGATGGTGTATGAAAGACCAGCCCATTGATCGTCTGGATTTTCCTCTTCACTCTAAATGAATAAAATAATAATTCATCAAACTGTGTGGTAACAATGACTGAGACATACAAATAATTAATTATGCACAATAACAACAGTGCAATAAAAGATTAATAAAAGAACTACTGGAAATTATAAATACTAATAACTATTAATAAATTATAATGATCTCCCACTATAACCCATTATTCTAGTATTCAGAGTAAAATTTATACTGCTATATAATGTACTTGGCAGTGTTTAAATTACTGCACCAAAAGTAACTGTTGGGATATTTACCCTAAATAAAGCTATACTGACATTAAGAACCTTCAACAGTTTCAAGCTACCACATTATCCTAGCCAAAACACTACATAGGCTGAGCAACTGAAATCATCAGTAAATTATGAACAGAATGAATGAATTCATTTACAGCATCTGATTTTCATCTAGGTTTTATCCATTACCGCAGCCCGCCTGATAGACAAATGATTAGAACATCCATTATACCATACTACACAATCCCAGCAGGTTGTGATGTGACATTAAATGCATCTCCAAATATTGTCCCCTAACAATGCTCAAGACCAAACACTTATGCACCACTAAACCAGAACTAAAATTATTACAACTGTCTGATTAATTCAATTTCCCATTCAGATTAGGTTTCAGTCATGAAAGTAATAGCACATACCTTATTTATAGTTCTGGTATTATGCTTCAATCACATACTTCAAAGACAGCATATCATGAAGTTTATGATACAAATCTACATGAACAAAATAATTTCTCAACAATCAACTTATCTACCCCTTGGTAATATTTTATGCTACATATCTTTCAGGGGGAGGATGTGTGTCTATGTGTTTATACAGGCTATATACGTCCATCTTAATTTCTTAAATCTTGACTTTTACTGCCATGGTCTCTATTATTATATGAATAACAATAACACTTTTTTGTCACACCATCCAGTTGTGCTACTTCTTAAAGAAACCTCTAATTTTCAAAAGAAATCCAAATAAATTGCTGAAATTCCAGAAAGAGATCTGTGAATAGCAGCAACTGTCAAGACTAGATGCCTCTCCTACCATCCCGGAGTTGTCTTGTGATGTTAGGACTTCACCACCACTTGAACAATATGAGTACTCTGACAGCCCTAAAGTGAGTCAAGTATGCAACACTTGTCCTACCCCCTCTTCTTCTGAAGGCTTTAAGAAGAATACAGTCCCTTCAGCTTTCAGAAATGACAATGGCCACAGTGAAATAAATAGGACTGTGATTAGAAGTCAGTTCTTACAACATATCATGCATGAACCATACACATACCATACACCATACACATCTTCCTCTGATCAACTATGTGTACAAACACTACCTATAAATTTTGGCATTAAGTAGGGTTTACAAAACAGTGGTGTACTGTCCAATGAAAAGTGAATGAGAGTCTCTTAAATGTTATGTAAAAATATCTAAGTATAAAATCCCACAATTTGGTGATGACTTTCTAGAACATGCACAGTCTAGGGTCACAGAGATAACTGCAACTTTTGTATCTTCATCTTTCACCCCTTTCATTTCTTCCTGTTTTTTCTTGTAACTTTATCTCCTTCCATCCTTTCTCCCGCATTCCTCTTCCATCCATTTTATTTGTGCACTCTACCATCATTCCTAATATACTTCCTTCCTACATTTTCTTTGCAACAAATAGTTCATCTAGATCACGAAAAGTTAAACAGTTCCATTTAGTGTGACTGGTGAAGATTTTTCTTATTTCAATTATCTACACCCTTACATGTTTCCCGCATGTTTCTAACTGTATTGATGTAAAGGTGTCCCTCTGATGATGGTCTCTGAAGACCGAAACATGTAAGGGCGTAGACAATTGAAACAAGACAAATCTTCACCAGTCACACTAGACGGAACTGTTTAACTTTTCATGATATTATTCGTATGAGGGACCAGAATGTAGTAAATCAAAGTTCATCTACATATCAGACACTTTTATAGTTACAAGACATATTCAAGTATGCATACTGAGAGATTCATCAAGCCATCTGATATTAACACAATCCCTTACTTACTGAGAGTAAGTATAATCTGCTGAGTGCAAGCACACAGCAGATTGGCTATGTTTTGTGTTTAAAATTAACTTAGTATTACTGACCTTGTTACAAACATATCCTGATTACTAGTTTTGTGTACAATAAATATATAATTATTTATATAACACTGCAGAATTCTGTATAATTATAAATGCAATAATTTTATAATCTGTGCTTGAATCAAATAACTTATGCTAACTGACTTGTGCAAATTCTGCATAAAAATGGCTTCCTATGCATTTTTCAATGTTTACAATTTTTAAGGAGGAAAAAACCAATTTTAACTCTTCAGATATTACAGGTTCCATTAGCACTTACAGATTTCTTGTTACAGTGTGTCACTAATGCATGTCCAATAACAATGACATAATCTTATATCCAGTAATCATAATCCAATTCCAATGCAATTTTTGCTACTTTTATACCTCCCTTTTTATATTACTCATAATACTATCTCATTAAAAACTACCACTGAAAAATGCAATAAAATTCAACATCAAAATTAACTGATGTTCTTAAAGAATACAAGGTATATGACAAATTAAAATGTTAATATGTCATTTCTGAAACTATGGGCTGCAACGAGTCACTGCCTTTATCTCGAGAATTATTTAAAACGTAGTTTTACAATTGCATAAGTTTGACAAATCATTAAGTCAGTAAGATATAATATAGGTGTTTCCAGGAAATGCCATGCAGATAGAAAAATATTTTGCAAAAATTTCTGTCACTCTATAGAAAAACTGTATAGCTTACTGTAGATGCAGGGTGGGTGTACAGCTATTTAGGTTCCTGCAGTAACCTTACAACAAAAAGGGCTGTGTAAATTTATGTGTTTTTTTCATAGAGTTGCTACACTGCTATGTCTGAGAATCATTGTTTAACTTAAAGCATTATACATGAAAACTGAGATGAACTTCAAATCTGTAGTGTTAAAGAAAATGGAGATGGATTAGTGAGAGTTGCAACAGAAGCTGCTCCTTACACACACATATTTCGGTTATCTCGAATTGAAACTGGCCTAATACTGAATTCACCCAATGAGCAAAAATTTCTACTGGTAAAAGTTTTCTGGGGGGGGGGGGCAGATCCAAATACTTTTGCAAAGTCTCAAAGATGGTTTACACCAATAAACTGAAGACCTAATATTGTTTTAAGCTATTTAAAGGAGATAGATACTGTAAATAATAAAGATATGACACACAGGGGGAAAATAATCTTGGATGCATCATATCCTGTATAAGAAAAATAAGATCATAATGCAAACTGCCATTGTGACTATTAAAGTGAGACACTACCACCACCAATATCAGGGAGCTGGGATAGAGCAGTCAGTATAGCAAATGGCTGCGGGCTGGATGACCGAGGGGTCAGAGTTCGAGTCCTAGTAGGGTCAAGAATTTTCTCTCCTCAATGTCTTCCAGACTGGATCTGGGGTCCACCCAGCCTCCTATCTAATTGGTATCCAGGGCTCTTTCCCTGGGGGTAAAAGCGGCAGGGGCATGAAGCTGACCAACCACTCACCTCCAACTAGTGATGAGGTCAAGAAAATTTGGATCTATACATCCACTCCCCATACGTCTTCATGTCATAGTGCTTAGTTATTACACACAGGGTCAACTTTACCTTACCACCACTATACTATACTAATACTATTACTACTGCTGCTACTGCAACCACCACCCCAATCCTTCCATAACTACTACTACTACTACTACTACTACTACTACTACTACTACTACTACTACTACTACTACTACCACCACCACCACCACCACCACCATCAGTACCAATAATATTCCTTGCTCTATAAACTGTAAACTTGTGACATGTTACATCTGTGCCACAAGCATGCCTTTAAGAATATTCCTGCCAGCGAACAAACTATGAGCCATAACATTCCATCCCTCCCCCTTTTCATATTGAGCTTTGCTTCTTTAAGATGGGCCCTGAGGAACTCCAGCCAGTCACGACCTACCAGCCTGCACTCTCCTTTGATGACAGCCTTCCAAAACATGAGTCTAACTGCATGAAGGGAACAAGCGGCATTTTACAAATGTTATCAAAGAACTAAGAAAGCAAACTGGTCCACTTATGACGTGTCCTGTTTTACAGTTTGAAGTTCATATGTATGGGGTCTGAATTTGAAAGATATTATCTAAATCACAAAAGTAAAGAGACCCACAAAAGGTAACAATGTTTCGAAATTAGATAACTGTTATTTACAAACAGTCAGGACCCTTGGGAAATAAATTAAGGTATGCATATTCTTGAACTTTCTATGCACATAACAGCATCCCTACAAACACATCTCTGAAAGATTTCCATGGTTAATGATAGATGCATATAAAAAATTCCTTGTTTTCTGCATAATTTACTGACTATTGAAGAATATAGGCTTGCCCACTGCATAAAGGATATAACTTAAGCAAAATGAATTAAAAACCAAATCTCTCCTCTGCTGACTTATGCATAATATAAATAAAAGATATAATAATTTTTCATAAATTTCACTTGTGACCTAAACAACATATTCTCTCATAAATTTGCTACCAGGCACTCAAAGCCTTTACAGAGGCCTATAAATGAAAGGATGTATGATATTTAATTCCCACTTTACTTTTTATTCTGAGGACAGATTATTAATTTGAATATTAATGATGGATCTAAAATAATTCAAAACCAATCCCCTTGCACTACTACTGCATTCAAGGCAAGTAACCTGCCGACACAAGGGGAAAGAAATCCTGCCAGCTCCTTCTACTACTGATACTTATCTTTCTTTCTAGGATGAGTAACACAAGAGAAGACAGACGGAATAAAGGCACCACGATAGCGCACAATGATTAAAAAAATGAACAGTATTTTGAACTCTTTCACCAGGTGTCACTGTTTTGTAGAAATAACAATATGGAACCTGCCATCTGCAGTTTCTGCTCCTGGCTTGCTCATCGGTTTAACATATGTAGTACTACAGTACTCTCTTTCAGTACTAGCCATTTCTGCTTAAGGAAATGCAAACTTAATGATATGGTAAAGTGCATGTAACCAACTTTGTGTGCTCAGAATGCTGGGTAAATGTCAACTAGAATAATCCCCGTTTCAAATTTCTGCAACATAAAGTAAAAAGTAAAGTATAGGTACCCCTGTAACAGGCCGTGGAGGCCCATAGGGTTGTGAGATGTTGAGGTTCCAACATTTTATAGACAATCAGCTCACAGATGGTGGCAAGGCTGCCAGCCCTATGCGCCGGCCGCCCTTTGCCCACAAAAATATTCCAAGAATATTCCTGGTACTCATTTCTGTTAGAGCCTGAGTCGACACCAGGGCCATAGTGCGGCTGGAAGGATTAGGTCAATTGGAAAAAATCCAATTACCTCTTCGGAACTTGAACCAGCGACCTTCCGGCTTGCAGCATAGTGCCTCAATCAACTATGCTACCACATTCTTGGTAAAATTATACAGCTGAAAACACTGCTGCTACAGAAATCTAATCCCTTCCTCTGTACTGTAACAATACTGACTACTAACTTCCATTGTTACAATTTATCACATTAATTGAAAATAGCTTATTTCCAGGTACAGGGCTCTTTGTGAGGGAAAAGATCTGCAGACATTGTTGAAATTATTTCTACCCATTGTCAACCTCAGCAACAGTTTTTTTCAAATTTAACAACTTGCGACTGTCCATAAACTTCTTTAGAAACACGTCATCTGTGCCAGTATATGGTGTCCGCACAGAGATAAAATTATACTTGAAGGCAAATACATAACCCATGATTAATGAAGGAAAATATTTCTTAATACTGTTATAAATATATTATTAACCTGTTCAGTTATACACAGGGCGAAAAAATTGTTTGAAGAAAAATATTTAATTGCTCGAACTGAATAAATTAGGTGGTTCTGCTGGAGGTACAACTGTTACATCTTCTGTAGTTGTTCACTCACCTTTGCAGTGTCTGCAGAATTTTCATTCTTCAGAGCCTCGAGGGCTTTCAATTTTTCTATGTCATCATCTTCCACTCGCACTGCTTTTCCTTCCCCCTCTGGTTTTGTGGGATTGAAAAGGTCCAAAGAGAAACCCAAATCCACATCCTGTTTCCACAGGACCTCTATCAAATCCATGTCCTGTGAACAAGACAATAACATTACTGGTTTTCAAAAGCTGCTATGTGAAAGTTGGCTTGGTTAATAACACTGATATGAAACTGTGAATGTACTGGTTTCCATTGCTTCCTTAAAACCAGAATTTGCATACTTTTTATATTCTCCAAATTAACAAAAATATCTAAAACTGTCATATAACTGAACTATTGTCCCTTGCACATGAGGAAGGACAGGCTCACAGTTACAGGCTTATATCTGTATCTCTGCCGTACACCCTTCTTAATAACTCTTGAACCAACCAAAGTATCATATTGAAATGGGGGATGAACATTAGGTTAGGTTATATTAATGCCACTGGATATACCCGTAGCTTATCTTTGTGAATTTTCATTTTCTTCCATTAAATATACTATTATGACAGTCACAAAAACTTCTGAAGAAGAAACACTACAGCCAATGAATGAGGAGTCCTGATATTTGGTGTGGCATTACATCTTTGAAAAATACTTTTTGTTGAATGTAAAACATGACAACCATTTAAGAAGAATATTTATAATTAAAATTTTTTCTTTACTTAAATTCCATTTTGGTTGTAAAATATATTACCATTCAAACAACGAAATACTTAAATTTTCAAACTATCAATATTAACTATTTATATTATTTCCAACAAGTAACTTATCACATACAAATTCTTCGTTTTTTTTCTGTCTCAACACAACAACCATTACAATCTCATTCACATTTCACTATGTATGAGTTTATTGGTCTAATATCATGGTAAAACGAAGACTTTATATAGGATAACACAACAGGAAGCATTCCTTAAAAGTTAACTTATCACACCTATGTCACATTTTACTTGATTCCATATTACACTTACAGATTTTCTCCAAGAACAGAAATAAAACATATCAACATCCATGAAGCTCCAGATACAAACAAACAGAATACTTGCAAAGCTGTTCACTCCAAACAGAATCAGGAAGTATTTATCTCTGTATTTCATTAAACAGTAAAAAACGTTGCAAATAAGAACTATAAATTTTAATGTGATCTATACTGTAGGTCACACACAAAGTTTTCGTATGATGAGCCATTTAGTAAGGAAGGCGAAGTTGGATTTGTATTTCATAAAGGTAGTGTTTACATCTGACCAATGATAAATCAAAACATAATTTTCCTGGTAGTTTTTAGTGTGGAAGTTCAGTGCCCCCAATGCCAAAGTCTGATGATATGCAACTGTCTGTCATATGTTCATTTTATGAATTTTGGATGAAGCATGCATATAATGTAACTATATGCCAACTAAATTCTTTATACTCTATGTGCACTATCCAGTGAGTAAGTTTCTACCTGACTGGATTTTCAAAATTTCCCAAAATTAGTAACATATATGTATCAATGCAAACTGCACTAATGTTAAAAGTGCTGAAGATAGAGTAGGAGTGTGGGTGGAAAGAATCCTACTTAGTTCTTAGATAAACTAAAGAATTGAATAATCTGTCATTATGGATAAATAACTTCTCCTTGCCCCAACTCTTCCACTCCATTTCCAACTATTACAGAGGCCTACCTTGAACCGAGTTTCAGAAGATTTACTTAATTTTATATGAAAACAGGTAACCGAGAAACACAGTTGGAGACAATACTGTATTTTTCTGAATGTACATCCATATATTTATGTTTTTTATTGACCGTTGATTATACGATGACCAGAGATATCAAAGATGCAAAGTAGCACATAAGAAAAACACATGCATATACACCATGATTTAATATTTAATTATATCTTTTAAAAAGAGCACCTAGCAAACACTTCATCTGCTGACAAAGATACATATCATGTCAGTCTACATAACACTCATATCTACTGTACAACTGCAACTTTTTCTACTGGCTGCTATTTGCTGACCAAAGCGTTTTTTTTCCACTATGTTTTAGAAGTGTTATAAAACATGCAGCCGACTGACACCTCAAGTATCGTGTACACTGTTCATAAATCAGACAAATTATGTATAATTAGGCATAAGGAAGAGGAGAAAGCAACAGGGTGATAGGCAGGCACAAAGAAAGAGAGTTACACAGAAAGGCAGATAGTAAGACCATCTTATTGGACTTTCTTTCACTATCATGAGTCCAGGCAACCTGTTCCTCTTTTAACTGCCATCAGTCCAGTTATTCCTTACTATGATGGAAAACACTATTAGAAGAAAATTAAAATACACAGAACATTATCCTAAATGCTGACAAGATATCAAGAGAACGCTGGTAGAACCCCACAATTATTAACGCGCTTGAAGAGTCTTTAAAAATAGTCTAATCAAATTTTGCTCTATTTCTTGAACACAAGTTGTAGTACAGAATAAAATATTTATCCTACCAACCTCTATATAATTTACTGCCAACGCTTATTACATATGGCAAATGCTTAAAAATGTTAATACTTAACAAATTCACTTCGATTTCCCTTCTCTCTTTTCATCTCAAGTCCTTCACAATCAATCATTTTATCATTGACGGTATTATAGTCTTAATACGAAAAGTGTCGTGAAATAACCAAGCAAAAATAAATAAAAACACGCTCTGGAAAGACGGAATAGCGCAGTAGGTCATGCGACTCGCTATAGGCTACATGGACGACAGCTGGACATGCATTTTATGGAGGATATTTACTACAAGTGTCCAAAGTTCCGAGTCTCAGACAAGGAAATGTTATTTGTAGCCTAATCTATCAGTATATTTGCCTTCTAACAACATTTTAATTTCCCGGTCTACAAGACGCACAATGGTTCGGGAAAGATAAATTAAGAAAACGTTTTATAATACATTTTAAATTATTTTCATTTAGCAAATAAGGTTTAATATTTATTGATCAAATGTAACACAATTTATTTGTTTATAAAAAGTAAACAATTAGGTTTTACACAATGAAGAAAAAAAAATTAAAATATACGTAATCCGCAGTTCTAATATTTACGTCATTTTCTTTGCTACTTCGCGATGCATACGACGCACTGCAACTTTTTGGTGTCACTTTCAAGAGTAAGGCAGCATTTCTAACATGCTGAGAAATATCGCATATGACTTGGCATGAATCATATGCCACTTGAGATCGCCATCATCTATAACACTGTTTAATTTGCTTGCATGAATAATACTAACATGGAGGTCGGGCGGACTTACTGAGGATACGGCGGCAACAGAGTCGCTTAACAAAGGATCCTGAAATTCTGGCAAAGTAATAAAAGGTAGAACTATCCCTGTGCGTAACTAATTAAGCACTAAGCCATAAAGTCGTATGATGGAGTCGATGTATAAATCCACATTTTCTTGACCTCACCAATAGTTGAAGGCGAGTTCCTGAAATTTGGTGCGTTAACAAAATACCGTATTTACGCATGTATAGGCCGCAGCACAATTTTCAGACAGAAATTATAGAAAAAATAATTTTCTTGGAATATTATTTCAGGAGTAGAACACCCTGTATTACTAATTATGATTATAAATTTTTTAAATGAAGTGTGATTTCGAATATTTCGAATATAAGCCGCACCCCAGTTTTCCTCTTGAATTTTTGGCAAAAAGTGTGCGGCCTATACATGCGTAAATACGGTACCCAAATATTCGTAACTTTCATTCATGAAATTTCTATAGAATGCAAAACAACAAAATTAAGTATACACAAGTAGCTCTGAGTATGGTGACGATAATCAACCAACCGCTTGGCAAAGGTATACTGGGAAATTTTCAAAATGCATATTATGGAAATTATACACAGAAATGAAAGAAGAAATTATAATTATTAATTATTACTTCATAGTTACTGTTCAGTCCCCTCGCCATATACTGAGCACATGACAGAATTCATACGTCATAAATTCTAAGAACTTCTAAATCTGCTATGCCGATGCAATCCGGTAATCTTCTATTCCTGAAACTGCGACATATCCAACTTCCTTCCCAACGAGGGTCATAAGCTGGGAAGCGTTCCTTTAAAATCGCATCTTTTAAACAAAATTGTATGAACATTAATACGAGTATATAATTCTTGCAAAGCTCTCTTTCTTTTTGAAGTGTCTGAAAGAACGTAGGCATCATAAATTATGTTTAAAAGATGCGATTTTAAAGGAACGCTTCCCAGCTTATGACCCTCGTTGGGAAGGAAGTTGGATATGTCGCCTGAACATACGTTAAATCTGCACAATACAGTATTACGGTTAAGTACCATCGCTCTTTTTAATCATTACCAAACGAGAAAATGTTTCATACATAATTTGCTGATACGTTAATTGTCTATGCCTACACAATCTTTAATACTTCCAATTTCCGTGGTATTTTAGTTACAATCATCAAACCGAAAGCTAATACAGACTTAACACGACTAGCGTGTTGTTATTTAACTGCCAAAACAAAGAACCTTCGATTTTCGAAAATGTATTCTAGAAAACCGAGTTTAACGGCCGTTGGGAACCGCTGTGCTGACCATGCGACACCCTCTATCCGCTAAAGTTGGCACTAACTTCGCCGACAAGCGGCGGTCGCTCGGTCGGTATAGTTCGCTTGCGGACTAAAACCACGGAGTTGTTGAACTACCACACAAAATTTCACAATCATATGCTAATTTTCTACCTCACAAATTCACACTTTATGCTGGTATTACTGACAGCAGGAATATGACTAGGATGTAGAGCATGAATTCATGACAAGTCTTTTGAAGGGAATGTGCTTAGGTCGTAGGATAATATCTAAATGGATTAAATCCGTAGGGTTTCAGGATGTGGCCTGGATTCATCTGCCTCCAGTCAAGGTCCAGTTGCGGGCTCCTCTAGACACGGCAACGAACCTTCACATTCCACAAAATGCGGATACTAATTTATCGGCAAAGCAACCATCAGTTACTGAAGACAGCATCTCTCCAAGGAGTTAATTCTGTCATTTGGTTGAGAAGTTAATAGGGGAGACAAATACAAGGTCACTATTTTATTTATTTATGGTTTATTTAATGACACCATAATCAA